GCAAGACAAGGTCAAATTGAAGCTCTAGTGTCTAGTCAAATCAATCCATTTTCCACTAGGTGGCAGACCTCGTTTAAAAAAAAGAAAGAATGAACAAAAAGCAGCGAGTCTTCCAAAGCTGACCAACAGGGGTCTCTTTGCAACCACATATCCTTGACAGATGAATTCGACTTTTTCTGCAGTCTCTCTTATTCATCTTACAGATAAGATCGTCAACACTCCACATAAAGCACACATAGAACACTGAAAAGATGAGTATCTCTTAATTTGCCCGACACATGTAACCACCCAATATTATATCCACCCAAAGGGAAATGAGACTTTAAAAATATACCTAGGAATAAAATTCTGAATGCACGTGATTTGGCAGACAACAGATCTCATTAAAATGCTGCTCCCAGGTTAAATGGGGATTTCTGTTTGATGCTATCTTAAATATTTGCCGATCAGATGTGATTATATCTATTGAGCTATCATCGTTAAAGCTAACAGCAGACAGATACACAAGGTTGGTGGCTATTAGCCTGGTGAATAAGGCCCTGGGAACACTCACAGGCAGTAACGAACATTTCTAAATAGCAGAGAGACATCCTGACATCATTTTTGCTCCTGTTACTTTTCGCCCTAAGTTAGACACGTGCACGCTCACACAAATGTGCAATGATATTCAATCGCGCTCTGTTGGCATCGTTGAGTGGATACACTTAGCATGTTGAGTGTCTGCGTGAGTGCCATCCAACCCCTGGGGAGGAATTATGCTTCTCACGGGGCTTTGTGTACATGAACAGAACCCTATGCCCACTCAGATAATTTTTCCTTTCACGTTGGGAAAGATGTGGTCCTAAATAATTCTGAAAGAAATGAGGAATGAGTTTTAAATATAATTTACAGACAGAGAAGCCCAAGTACTAAAAGGAAACATTCATTTCTCTTACGTCTGGGGTTAGTTTCCGTTATCTGAGACTGAATGAAATTAGGAATGCAAATATAAATATGTACCTGTATACACATTCCCATACACATATGTACGAAACCACAAAATGGCATCATATTTGTCATTCAAACTCCATAGTTACACATAATAAACTTTTTGTTCCTATCTAAATAGATTTTAAACATTAGTGAGGCATTGCAATATTCTGCAGACTTCACGGTCAAACTAATAATATTCCATAACTGCCTATCTTTCAAGGATGTAATTGTGCATTTGAGTTCAGGGCATATGAATCCCCTCAAGGGTGACCATGCCACAGATCAGAGCCAGAAAGAGACGCCTTTTGTTTCAGGATCCAGAACACAGCACAAGATGGGATTTGTCAGCTTCTGCCACACCCTGGTGCTAGATTTACTCCATTCCCTAAACTTCATAGTCAGTACCTGAACTGCTGTTTACACATAAAAATACTGAATGTGCACAAATCTCCTCTGTGCGGAGTAAATAAATCCACGGTGCATTCCTAAACTTCATGAATCTGGTTTAGTTTCCCTTCTGGCAAGACAAGAATGTGTCTTTTATGAAAACACTGTGTCCAGGAAAAACTCTACCCACTCAGGGAACCTGTGGGGAAGGTTGCCCCACCCTCGAGGTCACAGACCTTTAATCTGCAAAGTCCTTCACCAGTTATCCTGGTCAGTCAGCATCTTCAGAAAACAGAGGGAATGAGAGACTGTCAGGCACGCCACATCAAGTCACATCCTGGGAATTAAGGAATCAGATCACAAGGGCTTCTGGAGTCCCGCCTGACACACTAAATCAATTCCTCAGAAGACAGGGAAGGGACCCTCTCAGGCAGTTCAAGCCTCAGAAGGACTGCTTTTCAAGACCCCAGAGCGCCTCATTTCTCCGCACCCTACATTAAACCCTCAGAAGCTTAGGACAGAGCCTGTGCCATCCCTGTTTCTCTATGACCTATGCCTACCAGTTTCACCCTGGCTGGACTATGCCCAGAGGAACTCTCAGGGCAAGCGCCATCTTCTTTTATCACGACTCCAGCCAGCCTCACTATGCAACACCAGTTGCTCGCCAGCCTAGGATGGATTCCTTGACTCAGCAAAGCCCCTTGGATTTGCTTTGCCCATTTTTTCCCCTCCCCAGTCACTGACTGACTTCTGTTTGATTCCAGAACGAAACATTGAAACTTGGGTGCAGTTGCCTCCACAAAGATTTCCATCCCTGGGCAGGAGAAAACCTTTTAGTCCATGACCAGAGACAACCGGTCCCTCCACATGAGCCTTCTGGGTGGCAGAAGGCAAGGAAACCTCTGTCTTGTCTTCGCAGAGTCCTCGCAGCTGGCCTGTGGGTGCGGCCTTTGCTTCTCTGCCTGGGTTTTTACCACATCGTCTGGCACCAAATGCCCTCCACTGTGTCTGAGCAGAGCACCTGTTTAGTCTGACTCACGCTATCAGTGTGCAGACTCTCCCCGCCCTGACAGCGGGCCAGACCTCACACGGGCATTCGTGTGTGACGAGTGGGCACGTGGACTGGGTAATGGCATGCCTCACGCCCGGTCCGGAGCACCGTCCGCTCCTTGCAGGGGGTGCGGCTGTAAGCCCCCACTCTGGTGGTATGGCGTGCCCTCGGGTACCTGCAGAGGGGGCTCAGCCTGGTCGTGCTGCCGGAATCCACACTGAGGTTTGTTCCCAGGCGTAGGGAATTACGGGTACACCTTCCTGGTGGCGTCTTAAAACACACATCTGAGCGGATCACCCTGTGCTACAACCACCAGCAAATAAATACCACCCCGTTCTCTAACAGTCTTCTCTGTTGTGAACAGGCTGCACAGAGCAAACAGAGGAAGTAAGAGCCCATGGCAGTTGGTGTTCTCTCCACTACGCTGTACCTCTGGCAAAATGTGAGTTTGGCCGCAAAGGGGGTGAAAGGACACGGAGGACTCTGGCTCTGATAAACCAGGTGCCTAAATCTGAACAGATCCTCCCAAAAAGGAGGAAGCACAAAAACCGGCTCTGATTTTTACTCCAGGTTACGGTTTCTGGAGAGAGATCCAGTATGTATCTGCTTTCCCATCTCCTACAGACAGAGCTCCCTTAACTTAAGGCTTCACCTGAATTATTTTCTCTGCTGGGCGTTTAAATGAGTGACTGTTGGAAGATGTGAGTGGAAGTATTGAACTTGGCTCGGGAACACTCTAAGAGGCCCTCTCCTGACACACACACACACACACACACACACACCTTGGGTTCTCATGCCAAGGTGAATTAGCTATGCAGCCCGACGACACGCTTTCCTCCTGCAGGTCCTGACATCACCGCCGCTACTTTCTTTTTCACCTTTCCTCTTCCAGCCCCTGTGAGAAACGAGAGTGGGGTGGTCTTCGTGCAAATTTGTTCTTTCCCTGTTCTTTGAGCAAAAGAGGGGGCTGAACGTCTGAAACGGACGGAGAGGCTTGAAACTGTGGTTCACGTTTCGGCTTTTAAAAGGGGCGGCCTCGGTGTGTTTTGGGTGTAACGCCACATGCAGAAGTCAAGGCGCTTTGGCGGTGACTGGCCCAGCTTCTGGAGCTGCAGCCGGGGAAGACGCAAACGGGCCTGCCTTTCCTTTCTTAACCTGAGGCTTTGACGCCTGCGCAGG